CCCAAAGGGTCCAAGTGCTGATATGGGCAATACTCGGCCCCAGTTGCCCCAGAGGACACATTGGTCTATTCACTCACTTGGCCTTTTTGGTATTGTCCGGAGAGCGCTTGTGAAAATCGTTGAAATCAGACGATCATTTACACGAAATTCTTTACCACAACCGTAAGTATTTGTTGAGGAAAACCCTTCATACATGGCCCCCACTCAAAAGAAGCATACGTATGAGCGGATTCAATGATCGAACAAGGGTTGTTTCGGATGGAATCAGAGGGTCGCATGCCATGTCTTTCAGCATATTAATCTCTAGGTGCACGCATCCCACTGCTCAAGTGCACATGCCTCGAAGGACGTGTGGGATCTATAGCCATCAGGGTCCAGCTGATCATGACTCTAGCTCGGATCAGGGTGGTGTGAATGCTAGCTGTTTAAAAGTTGGTTCGACTGCATGCTAGCTGTAGACGTGTCTAATATTATATATAGTATCGGCTGTGCAATAATTCATGCATTTTTTGGAACGATGCCTGGCTTCACCGGCATGCTCTACCACGTGCACAAGAAGCGGCGGGAAGGTGCTTCCCTTCCCTGTGCAATTGCTGCAGTGCAGGATTTCTAATGGTGAGTGGCATGCCAGCTGTGATCTGATGCATTGGCCCTGCAGGCTTCGCTGTCCAAATGTGCACCATGAGGTCTTTCAATACGCCGATGTACTGGTACAGAGCAGCTTCCCAACCGTAAACCCTAAACGCTACAGCCATCTGTATATGGCATGTATATGGACTTTTTACAAATATGTACAGTGTGGTGCACCGTAGAGCAGCTTTCCAACCGTAAACCCTCAAACTGTAGATCGACTAGCTGAAGTGTGCACACAGGGTTTTTCTTAGCATCCAGCCATGCCGGCACAGGCAAAGGCAGATGCTAATGCCCCTGCCAAGTTTCGGCAGATGGACAGCGAGCGAGTGCACAATGGGGTTACCCAGAAGGGGGTTCAAGTGTTGCAGCCGCTTCGTTTCTTCGTTCCGGATTCTTGTCTTCATTATCTAGACGAGGGTGCTCGCTGGTGTCGATTTTCGGGTATCCTTTTGTATCTGGATGTAATTTGTTGAGGAGGATGCCATGAAAGTGGTGGATGTGTTGCGACCTGCTGTAGAAGCTCGACTTGCGGATATCAAGGCCTCCTCAGATGCTGGGATAGCAGATGATATGGCCAGCTGTTGACTTGTGTCTCCGTTTGTCCTTTGTTTGATTGATTAGTACACTAGTTATACAGCTTGTACAAGGACCGGCCTGTGGTGACGGTCTACGACGCGACAATGGGCCAGCAGGATCTGATCGATCCGGCGAACTTTGCCATAATGAAGAGATATGTTCCGATGCTCCTTACTGGCACGACTTTGCCAAACCCCAAGATCCTGTCGTGCAAAGACCACCGAGTTGGGGCCTCAAACAATTAATCATCAAGGGCTGCTAGGGCTTGTGGGCACATCTATTTTACGTAACGTCTAATATAATGCTTGAGGCAGCGATGCTGTACGTTGGGTCGGCCTATGGGTTCTGGAGCCAGGCCTTTGTTTCCGCGAGAGGAAACAAAGGCAAAATGAAGGTCGCCCATTGCTGTGGACATTGCATTTGATTTTTTATGAACATGATAGTGCTGGACAGGACTGGAGTGCCCTGCAAGGGACGCGGCTACGCTGGCTAGTCTCATATCTTTGCAAGGTCATCTACAGAACCCCCTTCGCCAGGACAATTCGCTCTCAATAAAGCTTCTAGTCAGCGAGATTGCAATCGAAGCCTAGTCTCGTTGTGACTGAATACAGTTGGCAGGACTCCGGAGGTCACGATATTGAAGACAATCTTTTACAAGGTCAACAACATGAGCCTCCCGACAAGGAAACCGAGCTCGAGTTCTGTAGACTCCGAGGCAGTTGGTGCTGGGCTGCTGGGTTTGTGTGTTTCAAATTTGAGCTCGATCTGGGCAGGTGCCATCGGAAATCGTATCTGATGTTGAGTTTGATGAGGAGGACGAGGATTGTCCTAGTATTTCTGCAGACTGCTCTAGTTATAGGTATAGCAACGTGGAAGGAGATCATCGATGATGACCTCGAGATCTGCAGTGTGCAGAGCGAGCCCCATGGCGATGATGGCGGCGACCTGCCCGTGACTGTAGATGTGAGTGATGATGAAGGGGAGGCGGGGGCTGGCAAGCAGTTCAATAGGATGCATCGTTTGGGGGTTATAGGCTGAAAGTCGAGCAGGCTGAAGCCCCACGGCACGCTGAGCTGAGCATGGAGGCCAACAGTGCAATCATATATTGCATGTGGTAGTGTGTTGATGTGCTAGTCTGTGTACATGTAATCTATAACCATGGTTTCTGTAATCCGAGGTGCCGAGCGCCGACGATGGGATGCTGGTGGACGCAGCTTTTCAGCAGTAGTGGGTTACATATTAATTCTATTTTTGCAAAAACCCAAAGGGTCCAAGTACCATTATAGTAGGTACTCAGTAGGTATTTGGGCCGAAAAATATATATGCCAGTACTTGGACCCTTTGGGAAAGTGTGTGTGTATACATAAACATGTGTTTGTGTGACTCCCAAACCCTACACCCTAAACCCTCAAACCCTGAACCTTAAACCCTAAACCCTAAACCCTAAACCCAATAGTCCTAGCCCACCTAAGGTCTTGTTAAGTATCCCCGAGGAGTAAACCTATAGGTCCGATAGCTGCACTCCTTGACCGTTCGCTGTGAGCTAGAGCCAGGGATCGCTTGCCCAAGCCCAAGAGCCCGAGCAGAGCAAGCTGGACACTCCGGTGCAGGCATGTCAATGCATTTATTGGTAATCAGAAGTTTAGCAACCCCGAGCCCAAGCCCGAAGCCAAGGAGACTTTGGATCTCGATGCCAACCGTGCTGCAGATCATCACAGCGAGGTGCAGCCTCAGTTGTAGGGGTACTTCGGGGGTGTGTTGCACAGGATTCGGGTAAGGGGTTGGTGGTCCGGATATACTGTACGTAGTCCCGCATGTGGGATAGGCGAGCCCTCGGATTCTGCAAGGCCATGAACGACGTGCAGGCCATGATTATGGAAATCGACACGCCTTTGCAGGCACGCTTGTTTGATTTGTGGAGTTCGACATGTAGCACTCATATTATAACATCATACCTACCAGCACCAGTAGTACTGTAGCTGCCCATACACAGGTAGCCGTTTATCTATTTCCCAAAGGATCCTAAGTGCCCATAGGCTTTATATTCGGAATTGGGGTTTAGGGTTTAGGGGGTTTCGACCACGTATTAGGCATAGTTACTGTATAGCTTGGCCAAGTATCCCCGACATATAATATAAGTATCCCCGACATATAATATAAAGCAGTATATCCCAAAGGGTCCAAGTACCACTATAGCAGGTACTTAGTAGGTATTTGGGCCCCCAAAATATAGACTATATTAGT